AACGCCATTGGTAGTCAAGTTTAGGAGAGCAACTCGCCTAATTTTGATAGAGCTGTGAGTTTAAAGTTAAGTAGCGCTGCACAACAGTCAATAGCGGAACTGCTCTACCAACAGTTTTTCAGTGTATACATTTTTGCTAAATGTATAATACTTATATTTTTATGTTATTACAATGATAAAATAATGGATATAATATTTTAGAACGTTTTTTATTTATCACAAACCATGAGTTAGATATAAATTGAAATTAAAAGAATTAATAATGGATATAATATTTTAGAACGTTTTTTATTTATCACAAACCATGAGTTAGATATAAATTGAAATTAAAAGAATTAATAACAAAATTTAGCGAAAAATTCGAAATGCTTTCTTAAAAGTATTGTCTAGGACTACAACATTGCCAAAGAAAGTTATTTTTTTTGGACAAAAATGAAAAATTTAGAGATGATTTTTAAAACATGTTATTTTTGACCCAAAAAAAAAGTGGTACGCGCGTTGAAACACCCATAATAATTTATTTTAAATTGAAACAAAATGAATAATTGAGGCTCCCAATTCAAGAACCGGTCGGACGCTCGGACGACACGCGCAACAGCCAGTCAGTGAACAGTGAGCGCCTCTGGGCCACTCACTGCTACCCGACTGGTACTAGCGCGTGTCGTCCGAGCGTCCGACCGGTTCTTGAATTAGGAGCCTCAATTACGTCAGATTCTAATTGTTTGTTGTTTATTTACTTGTTTTGATGGTCTTAGCGCAAAGAAAAAAATTAAAACATTAAAAATTAACTTATAGGAGATAATTAAAAAATAAAATTTTATTTTGCACAAAAATAATTAATCGAAATCTATATATTCGCAATTTTTACAGGTGAAGAACATGTAAAACGCTTAAAAATTATGGATTTAAAACCAATTTTAATGGCAGTACTATTTTCACATCGTGAGCGTTTTAACCTGCGTACCACAGTGTGTCTCAACGTGCAGACTTCGCTGTTATTTTTTTAAAGCTTTGAAACTATTTGTAGATGTTAACGTATGTCTAAATTTTTGTCGGTACATTAAAGTATGATACGACAAAATGCCAATAAACTTTTTAATATTATCAGTTACACAGGTTATAATATCTTAGTGTCTCAACGTGAAGACCGTCTCAACGTACGTACCTCTCCCCTATAATTTTACTATCAATTGAAATTGATAAATTGTGAAAATTCAGTCAATTTTAAAAATAATTAAAAACTGGCCTAAATCTATAAGTCGTCAAAACTGACGTTCATTTAAGAATGAGAAATGCCTCATTGGGGGTAAAAATTAGTCCGAAAAAGCCTGATGTAGTTTGTGAATGACACCATAGAATCAACATAAACAAAACTTTTTAATAGTCTAAGAGGGAATGAGAGTATCAAAAGTTAGAATAAGAAATCACTTTTATCTTAAATAATCTTTGATAAGTGTAATATTTATATTTTTATGCGTATAATAAGAGCGAATATTGCACAGTTAAGATCTCAGTCCAGTTCCGTGTAGAAGTCGTCGCAGTGCATATAACACTTAGTTTCCTACTCAAAGTTTTTTTCTCTCTCGCACTAGTGGTCTTTTAAATAAAGTTTTGAGCCACACTTTTTCTTAGCTCAATATCTTACACACAAAATTTTTTTTTCAAATTTTTCGTGTCAGTAGGAAGTATAAACTAACATTTACCATAGTCAGTTTCCCAAAATTATCACTTACCTGAAAGAAATTTCAGTTTTACCAAAGATTTTTAAAAATGTTGGGGAATTGTGGGCCATTACCTAAATTAAGTTTAAAATCAAAAATAATGATGAAATATATTTGAGCCGCAGCGTGCAATAATAACAGCTACGCTCGGGCTGTCTTTCTCAACCTCAATATCTACTTCGAATGCAGTCTCCTTATTGGCCAGATCTAGTCCCCACCGCGGAATTCAAAGTAGATATATTCCGATTCGGAAAGACAGCCCGAGCGTAGCTGCTGTTATTGCACGCTGCAGCTCAAATATTAAAAATGTTTAATTATTAGTTTAAAATTAGAAAAGAAAATTAAATTCATCAGAATCATAATTTGGACAAGTAAAATAGGATGCATTAGTTACACATTTTAAGTGGAGAGCTCTATTGCATGAATCGCAATAAATATAATTGTTTTTGCTAAATTACTATAGCTATGAGTGGTTTTAATAATATATGTACGTGCATTGTGCAATTAAGTTGACAAAAACAAGCAACAAATACTTCTCAAAAAACATGGCCCACAATTCCCCAAATGCTTCATTTTACAAAAAGCTTTGTATTATTTATTCATTTTAATTTGATGCAAAATTTCTTTTTAGAGTCAAACTACCAATGGCACACAATAATTAAAAAAATATTTTACATAATTATTTGTTGAAAATCCTTGTAAACACAATAAAAACATGAACGCTCAAAATAAATATTTGAATGCAATATTTCAGGTGATTGTTATTTATGGTTTATAGGTAATTGTAAAGCGTTGTAAAGGCATGAAATACTAATGAAAAATTAACTTTGTACGAACAAAAGAAAATTTTAAAAAAATTGGATAATCAAACTTATAAATATTACACTGAGAAAAATAGAGTTTGAAAAACTGGGAGTCAATATTGAAAAAACTGGACTCAGTCCAGTAAAAGTACATTAATTCATTTCCATCAAGCATCTTAGGGTGTTGCGTATAGTGGATAGAGGGTCTTAGTTCCAAATGTCACTGTAAAGAGCATTGAAACACAGGCGAAGATTATAAGGCGCGCTGCAGTGTGCATAGTAGAGAAACTGGACTCAGTCCCCTACTTCGAAATTTTCACAATGAGGGAACGCAGGCGCGGAACCTGTCAAAATAAATGGCCGACGCGACGCGAAACGAGTGTTTCCTTTTATTCACTTCGTCAATTTTATATAAAAAAAACAATAACCAATCATTAAAAAAAAGAAAAATGTGTTAAATGCACTCTTTATATATTCATATTCCTTAATTCACAAGTTTTATTCTTCCCACATCTTCATACTTACAATTAACAACTAAATGCATCGGAAAATCTTACAATCATACGGGATTGAGCACCTACCTAACCATACAACTAAATATACGCATAATTATAAATCGCACGCTTTTACATTAAGTCTCTCGGCTACGCAATCGATGGGGGAAATTTCCTATTTAAGAAACATCCCTTACCAATGAAATAAATTAGATCATGCGTGGATTTTACTTTGTAATTAATGTAAGTATGGATGTCAACAATATTCATAATATTGAATAAATAATATTGTCAACTAGTTTAAATTTGATACGCGGTTATTAGAATTTAATAATAAATAAATAAAAAACATTAATTTTTTCCTAACCTTTTTCAAGTTTGACACTCCTCATGGTAAATTTGATTATTCTTTTTTTCCGTGTACAAAATAGTAAATTGACGTTGAATGAAATGTATAATTAATTATTCTCACAGCAATATTTAATAATTTAATGAACTTAACTGCACTGCATAAATAATAGTTGAGAGTAGTAATAGTAAGTGAAACGGTAAGATAAGTGAACGACCATTAGTGTGAGAGAGAGAGAATAACTTGTGGTTTTCGAGTAGGTATCTACTTTATGTGCACGGCATTCATTTTTCGAAAGAACTGGACTGAGTACTATTTTGTTCAATATTCGCTTCTATTATTGACTTGTGTTTTGTACACTGCCGCGTTCTTTTAACAATTACATGAGAAAGCAATTTCTCATTCCAGTTTTTTATACTCTTATTCCCTCTTAGACTATATAAACAGTCTTGTTTAAGCTGATGAATGGGATAACTTGTGTTGAGTCCCAAACTGTTCAGCTATGAAACTTCTAATACTATAGTGTGTACCTGTCACATATTATTCTATAAAGGAGTACTACACTGACTGCATAAATCATTTTTCCATTTTTCTCCGTGTATTAAATAATGGAGGTGGTCCACAATTCCAAATCGATTGCGATAGCCGAGAGGCTTTATATAAAAGCTTGCTTTTTAGAATTATGCATATATTTAGTTGTATGGTTAGATATATGTTCGATCCCGTATGATTGTAAGATTTTCCGATGCGTTCAGTTGTTAATTATAATTATGAAAATGTGAGAAGAATAAAACTTGCAAATTAGTGCATACATTAAGATTACACTTTATTTTTTCAACGGATTAATTATTGTTTATGTAAAATTGGAGAAGTGAATAAATAAATACACTCGCGTCCGCCAGAAGAAGAATTTCGACAGGTTACGTCCTCATTAAACGTGTTATTACTATCGATATTGTGAAAGGTTTAAAGTTTGTCACTGAGTCCTCTACTGTACTAAACTGAGACCCTCTACCACTAAACGCATCGCTGGCGCGCATAACATTTGTTTCTGTTTGTCCGTAGACTCTTTAAAATTTTTACAGCTACTACACTCTATCGCCGGTTTAGCGGAATGACTGAGGGAGTTGTCCGTTAAAGCAAACAATACCTTTAACAAGACAAGACACAGAAAATCGTAAATCATAACCCGAAAAGTCCGATAAACCGGCATTGTAGTATACTTCCAGACGATGCTTGATGGAAACGAATTAATGTACTTTTTCTGGACTGAGTCCTATTTGCAGTATTTGATATTTTTAGTTACATGAAAACTGCTCTGAATATATGATAGATGTTCAAAATGCGACCAAAATAAGGTAAATAAATATCGATTTTTTATAATTCTTACAATCATTTAAAAAAACTATGGCTTTCTCCCTCGGCCTTACCCTATTGATTTTCATTTGAAGTCTTGAAATATTTTATTAACTCTTTTTCAAACTTATATTAATTTATGTAATATTTCCAACAAAATACCACTGTAAACTGCGAGGTAGTTTATCTACACCAAAAAAAATATAGTAATCTATACTTTGGTGTTTAAAGAATACCCCACAATTTCCTGTGACTAATATATATTATAAAAACTTACCAACTACGAAGACCATATTCTTTGTCCATCGCAGCAGTTCTCTTCGTATGTGTCTGCGTTCCTGTATGCAGCGGGCATAGGGGCAATCCGCCATTTTTGAAATCACATCTTAGGATGTGTGTTTGTGTCGGCCGGCTTCAGGTGTTGTATAAGGTCTTGGTCTCGTTTACCCGCGTGGATACGACTTGTTATACGTCTCTCTCTCTCGCTCTCTTTCTCTCTGGTTTTTTTCAGTCTTTCCTCTCTCGCTTTAGGGCTCAATATATACTGCGTGTTTTACGAAAAAGTTTTTTTTTTGCAGTTTCCTTCTTCCCTTCTATATTTATGTGATTTTTCGATGTAAAAGTGGATATTCGACAGAAGTTTGGATAAGTGCGCACATATGTGTGTGTGTGACGTCACGTGTGACGTAACTTGCGCTAGGAGGCAATTGGAGGGGTGATGTCTGTCGTCGTTTCGTTGACGTTGGGAAGAGAGGAGCACACGAATGGGAAAAGACGATGTTGGCAGAATGGTGGGGGTGGTTAATGTAGGGGCGGCTTGTCCTCACTGGTAGTGGGACAGGGTTAGCGCACAGTAACGCACACACGTGCACGCTTGCGCCCTGAGTAGTTAGTGCTCTCTGTCGCCAAAGGCTTTCTTCCCTCTTTCTCGAACAAACCGTTTTTAACACTGTTCCTCGTCTTCTCGCGACGCAACTCGCCCCGTGTATCCCGTAAAGGAACGCTTTGTACTAAGGCGTGCACCTCTCTTCACAGAGAAATACTCTTACCAAATCAGTATCTGAAACAAAACAAGAAAAGAAACAATTGTCAGTATAAGGTATTGTTATTAATTGAAAATATTAATATAGAATAAAATTTTAATTATTTTAGAACTATCGGATTTCACACTCTCTTAGATTCATTTTTGTGTATGACTAGCCTTTGTAAATGAGGATTAACTCCGAGAACCCAGGTAATATTTCAACAAATCGCGACCGTCATCATGGAATATTCAACTAAAAAAAATTAGCTGTTTTTCCATTAGGGTACTATGGTAATTCATAACGGGAAGTTAATCATTACGGAATACAAAAGGGGTTGATTCCGTTACTCTTAGCCCTAACCTTCCGTAATGTACATGCTGCCTTAAGATTAAATCAATGGTCTTAACCTGTGGACGTTTTACGAAAAATATTTTTAATTAAAATCTATTTACGTCCCGACGTTAGACTATTACACTTCTGATAAAGGAATCAGAATTTTAACAATAGGAGGGCATATTTCAGTAAAATATTCTAAAATTAGAAAAATGTTTTCGGCCTCAGTTAACTGAATTGCTATTATATGGATAGCAATCACAGCTAATTAGCTATCCATATAATAGTAAACTAATTTTTCTCCGTTTCTTAATTTGAAACATTTATAAAACTGTCCGCAAAAGTAAAAAGCAGAAACTAAAACTACCACAAATGTAAAAATCACAAAATAGTAACGAGTCTTGAAAATAGAGAAAGTTAGAATAGTTAAGCAAACAAAAATTGAAACTAAAGAAATAAATAGATGCTATTGTAAAGAAAGTCGGACATGGAGCATACCTGTAGACAAAAGGGAGAAAAGGGATTTGAAGTGTCCATGGCGGTGCCCCACCCCAAAGCAGGAAGGTACTACTTGAAATAAAACATTGCCGGTAAGAAGAGCGTCGGCTGTTAGGTATGAAGGTAAAAGGGAAGGGGTGGTTCACTCGCTCGCGGAAAGTGGTTGGAAATGTAGGGGCGGTTTCGCGTAACCAGAGAAATAACGGGGGGTAGATTCAGGGTGGAAGCAAAAGGAGAAGACCAGTGGGAGACCAAGGGAAAGAGGAGCAGAGTGCGCCTAATATGCAACAAGAGAAAAAGAATTGGCGATCAATAGGTAGTAGCTGGTAAGCGTCCTTTCATCCGTCCCCTCGAAACCCCTTGTCCTTTCCACCTGCTCTACCCTATCGTTCTCTCGCCCCTCAACTCAACCTCACCCTTCCACCTTCTGCTCCACCTTGCCCATCGCGAAACTCTCCGCCACCGCCACCTTCGCGACCGGGACACCCATACCCATAGCTTGTGCTACTACTAAGTTTATCGCTGTCGCCTACCAAAACAAACCCACTGCATCCTCAGACTATCACAACTTGATCCAATATATCTGCTCATTGCAGCATGCGAATATGCATCGCCTGGGAAATTAGACATTAGTTGCACTTTCTTGTTATTTCATTTTACATTCCCATGAACTAATCTTCTCTTGCATTAATTTTGTTTTACTTTCTTTCAGTTGCGTTACCTTTATCTCAATATTTTGCACAAAATGAAACAGGCGTGAATGTCACGATAATTACTAAAACTTTGCAATTCCTTCTAAGTCATATAGTTTTATTTAAGTACAACAGGAGACTGTACACATAAGATTTATCTAATTAAATGAAGTTGGACTTTATTTACTAGAGCAAAAGAAGTGTTAGATCAAGTAAAATTTTAGATACAATTTGGGTTAATAATTTTTGCATTAGGCAAAATCTTGCAGCATTTTAAACAGAATATACAACCCAATAAGAAATTATAGTATTAAGCCAGAGAAAACTACTGGCGCAATACAGCGCCTGTAGAATTGCTAAGGGTTGAGTGACTATTAATGAACAAATATTGGTATTAATACCGTATTAGTACTGTAGTGTCAGTACTGGGAAATTGCTACTGATCCAGAATTGTATCAGTACTGACTATAGAGTTAATTTATTTTTATATAGGAATCTTTTTGTGATGTTGTTGACAAAACAACATTTCTATTGAAAAAATGGTTTAAAGGGTTTCATCCACTTAGGATTTTGAAAAAATCAAATTTTTTTTATTGGATTTTCGTAATATATTTTTTCTATCTGCCTATTGTGAATGAACCAGACCAAAAAAAGTTCTAGAAAGTGCTGAAGATGCAAAAGATTCATTATATGGGCCTGGAATAGATGATTCAATGTAAGTGGAAAAAAAAATTTTACTATACACGGAAAAGTTTTCGGGCGAGCTGCGTTCTCCGCGCGTAGAGAAGGTTTCCTAAAAGAGAGAAGGCATATCGCCTTGTAAATGGGTGAGCTTCTCTCTCTACTGGGAACGCTGCTCATCCAGTGTTGGACGAGCTGCGCTGAAAGTCAGTGGTAGATACACGACTGGTAGAGCAGCTCGTCCAATGCTGGCCTGCTGCGCTATCTTTTTACGACTATTGCTGCACCAAAGTGAAGTTGCGCAGCGTTACTAGAGCAAATAGAGTTGCTCGCCCCAAAACTTTTCCGTGTAAGCAAAATGTTTTGAACCTTTTTTATGGACGCGTTTTTCTCAAAACTGTTTTTATAATCGGTGAGCAAGATTTCTCAAAAACGGTTAGATTTCAACACAAGCTTTTTAATTATATTATTTAGTAATTAATCGAAAGTTTTTTTTACAATAAATATTTTTTATTTTATAAACAACTTAAGTCGTGAATTTTGGTCAAAAATATATACCTCCGCTTTCAGAAGGCTAAATTCTGTCAAAAATTGTTATTTTGTTTATTCCTTTGATTAATCCCAAGATAATCTATTATGTTAACGAAACATTTATGGTTTCTTTATTTTAGATGATCCAGTCGAGAAATACCCTGCTCACCGCAAGATGAGAAGTTGTTTTCTCTAAAGTTCTACTTTTCTAGAACTTCGGAGAAGCTCCCGCAAATTCTTCATAGAAGTTTTAAAAAAATTATTTTTATAAATAAAATATGTCAAAATAAAGTTCAAAATACCCTTTATATGTGCATTAATTTTTAAATTGAAATACCCAAGAGTTTTCTCAAAAAAAATTCCTAAAATATCGACTTTTTTCGGCTGTCTAACTGGATGTAACCCCTTAAGACATCCTACTACCCATCGGGATTTTATATAATTTAATTATATTTAACATTAAAAAGAAAATTCCCTTCCGAATGTGTATCGAATTTATCTTCACCAATTATTTAACATGTTTGATAAATTAATTGTAAGTACATACGGCAATTGTAAATTTAAAGTAAAATAATCTAATAATTTAGGGATGATTTTGTCAACGTGCAGTATAAAATCAGAAAAATATTATTTACAAGCTCAGATCTTAATGTAATTATATTGTCAAGTGAAGTTTGTATATTAAATTTATTGTAAAAAAATAAAGAACTAGTTTTATTAAAGGAAATTGGAGAAAAATAAAACTACAGTTACATTTAAAAAACGTGTTCCTTGGTTTCTTATTACAAAATGTTAAATTTTTTTATAAATTTTTAAAAATCAAAAAATTGATTTGAATTTTTTACTTAATAACATTTGATGAAGTTTCTAATAACATGATTACAAAAATGAAAGTATTTAAAAATACGGACTTTACGGACAAAAAATGAAAAATTACGGACCAATATTATTCACAAAAATATAACCAGTTTGAGTCAAATAAGAGAAAATTTTACTTAAAACTATAAATTAAAGTTTTTCATAACTATATAAAACATGAAGATATCGATCACTCCGAGTCGAAGACTCGGAGTGATCGATTTTCTCATGTTTCATAATAATCAAAGAGTGATTAAAATTATTTATTGAAAATGCATTGAAAATAATTGAATTTGTGGCGAAGAATTTTATTACAATTTTTAAAAATAATTGAATTCTCTGCGAAGAATTTTATTACTGACGAAAATAATTGAATTTTTTTAAAATTATAGAGTTTCTTTAATAATTTTAATTGGAAATTTTCAAAGTACTTGAATTTTATAAAGAATTTTTTTCAAGTTTTTGAAATAATCGTATTTTTTAATAATTGAAATTGAACATTTAATTATTGAATTTGATTAAAATTTAAAAATAAATTATTAAATTCCTCTTAGAATTTTATTACAATTTTAAAAAATAATTTAATTGATTTAAAGAATTTTAGTTAAATATTGAAAATAATTGAATTTTTTAGAAGAATAGATACTTTAATTCTTTTAAACAATTTTATTAGAGATTTTCTAAATAATTAAATTCTTTTAAAGAATTTCTTTAAGTTTTTTGAAAATAATGTTTTTTTTTTTTTAATAATTTTAATTGAAAACTTTGAGAATAATTAAATTAATCAATACCCAATGGGAAATTTACAACTGGCGTAGTACTGCGCCAGCACTGGCAGCACTGGCGGCAAGGCTGAGAGCCAGCACTGGCATGGCACTGGGATGATAACGCCGTCTGGCGCTGCCGAAGTACTGTCTGTCAGTGCTGCCAGGCAGCGCTGGCGCAGCACTGGACCAGTGCTGGCTGAGAATATTGCCGCAATAAATGCCGTATTGTTATTAATTAGTCGAAAATTAATAATTATAAATAATTTAACAACAAAATGGTAAATAATATTAATAAATAGTTATTATTCATAAAATATTTCTCTTCTCAAAGAAATTGTATTAAAGATGGAGACTAACAATGGATATAGTAAATTAAGTAGAAAAAAATTGTTTATAACATTTAAAAATTAAATAATAAACAATTACAGTAGGTGTGCATTAGATTTTCATATTTTAGTACCTAACGATTAGAATCTAGAAATATCGCAAACCTATGAAAATAAACATAATTGCTGACGAGGGGAATCGAACCTACGACCTACGGACTAACAGACTAACGCTCTAACCACTATGCTAACGACACGTGTGTGCAGAAAAGTATTAATATCTCAGTATCATTCAGACATACAATTATTGAGTCAAAGATGAGAAAAAATAGGGATACGTTAGAAGTAA